CAGCAAAAAATCAATTGAAGCGAGCGAAGGAGAAGTTAAGGGGCAAAACCATTATCAATTTCAATCTTACCTTTTTTTCGATAAAATTTATATATAGTAGAGGAAAAATTGCTCCTAAAATTAAAAAAACCAAAAAATTATGAACTACGAAAACAAAAATCTAATCTACGGAACTTTTTCTTGATTGGAGGGAATTTTAAAAAACTATCAGGAAAATATTGACTATAAAGTAGTATACATTAACAATATTAAGCATTACGAAATTTTGTCAGAAAAATTAAAAAAATATTTGGAGGAGGAGTGGCATCGCAAAATAAACCCAGATAATTACGGAGGACTTTCTCCCCTTTCGGAGGAAATGTTGAAACAGCATTTTGTTGAAGGAACCGATTATTCAGCGGAAATCAATAATAGCGGCTTTAAGGAAATAAAAATCCACTCAGAAAGATTAAAAAAGGCTTGCCAAAATTGGTGGGACAAAAAGCGAGGTCCGCGTGATTATAGCGACGAGATAGCAGATGCCTTTCTCCGAATGATCACTAATGGCAAAGTAAAAAGTTGGGACGACCGCGACCCATCCCGACAATGAAAAAATACCCCCGAGCAACGCCAGAACTTCATTGCCGAAAATAATCCGCCACAATTTTATCAAGTGGGCATCAACCGCGAAAAAGAAAAATATGCCGACTGAATTAAGCAACAACCACCGCTGACAGAAGCCGAATTAAAGGCCCTGAACGACCCCATTTTGGGGGCAGACAAGAAAGGAAATGGTTTTATGGGCTTTACTGGTGGTCTGAATGAATTAAATTGTGCCTTGCGGTGAATACAAAGAGTGCGTCAAGCCAATTCGGAAGTTTTTAAGGATAAACATTTCGCCTGATACGAAAATTTTGAGAAAGATTTTGATGACCCCAAAAGCGACGACTACAAAGCCATCCAAGCCCTCAAAAATGCAGGAATTTCTCTCGATAGACTTTTCGAGCGAGTAAAAAAAGGCAGACAAACCCGGAAAATCAAAGAACAAGAAAAGCCAGAAAAGGACAAAAATAAAATATTAGCCAACATTGAGGATTGAGAATTACGGGGCGAATACATTTACAATTCCAAAACTGGCCATTTCAAATCGGCCACGAGCAATATGTGGGCGGGTGGCGACGACAAACATAATTATTTTTCTAAATATGACAATGTAAACTTAACCCCTGAAACTTATCAAGAAGCAAGACAAGCCATTTTCGACCGCTTTTTAAAAAAATTGCGAGACAATAAACAAGCATGAGAAATTACGGACCAAAGACTTAAATCCAAAGAAGGAGACCAACCGGTAAATTATGAAAAGGATAACTTTACAACTACCGAATGAACCGAAATTGAAAAAAAAATCGGCAATTTTTCTGTTTCCAAAAGCCACGAGCAATCTCCAAACAATTCGGACCATC